AACTACTGTACATCATGACCAAACAACTTGCTAATTCTTTAGTTTTCTGGAAATCTAAGTAAGGTAAGTGCTTAATGTGCGTTGCTGGAGAATGGGGCTTTTAAGTACTCTGCTGATGTGATGCATAATTCAAATCATGTTTAAGAGGAGAGAAAATCATTTGATTGCACCACTTGACTTAGTGAGGGGGAAATGATAAGGCCAATCGGCTGTCATCATCATCTCTCGCTCTCTCTCCCTTTCTCTGTGTCTCTCTCGCTCCTTCTCTGAATGTTTTTTTTTTTTTAATAGCATTGCCACTCTGAATTTTGAACACACTTATGCGTGTCTCCACAGCATGATACAATCACACTGACCTCATGTGATTTAATGTAATCAGCCTTCCCAGCTTGTGTGAAATTGTATTGTTCTGTTTCAAGGAAAATGCTGTGCGATTCTGTGTAAAGGGATCGCACAGCGTCGAACCAGAATAATTCTGTGGGGGAAACGATGAGGCAATGTCATTAGGCAGACGGTTGTGTGTGAAAAGCTTTTGGCTCCTTTAGGGATAGCAAAACGTGTTAATTATTGTGTGGAACAGAAAGTGTTTGTAATCATGCAAGCTTCAAGGAAGGCTTCATTCACAGTAAATACTCTAGTTGACATGTTTATATAAAAATATTACACTAGATACACAATATACACCTTTCTGACAATCCCATTAAATAGTTAATTAGTGCTTCAGCTGAACTCATTAGTAGATTTGCTGAAAAACAATAAATTAATTTTATTTGATTTTGGCATACAGTTTTTTTTGTAACACAGTAAGAATGTTTGACAAAGAAATATTTAAAAAATACAACATAATACAATAAGGTCTAACATCTAAGATTAAAAAGACATGAACTTGTCTGTAGAGTTGTATCTTCTCTGTTGTTTAAATGTAAATTAGTTCCACCCTTCAGAAGCTTATTCAAGTAAGTCAAGTGGCAGCCATAATTTAAAACTTAAAAGCACATCTGTGTCTGAAGTTTCCAGGAGACCACGAGCTGCTGAGGAGCATTTTGAACGCAGGAAACATTCACAATGCTCTAAGTGAAATTCAATTTTATTTATATTGCACCAAATCACAGCAAAAGCCACCTCGGGATTCTTTATTATGTAAAAACCTTTCAATCGTTGAGAGAAAACCCCAACAATCAAATGACCACCTATGACCAAACACTTAGTGACAGTAGGACGAACACGAGCTGCTGAAGAACATTTTAAACGCAGGAAACATCCACAATGCTCTAAGTGAAAGTGTCAGAAATCAATTTCTTTGTGTTTGTAAGTAAGTGAGGTTTTCTATGCCTTAAATCGTGGCTATGGGTCTTAGGGCACTGTAAAAGAAAATTTAAAAAAGAAAGAAAAGTACACTATATTAACAAACGTGTTAGGAACTTGTGTGTGTCACTGCATTCTTAATCCAAAGAGTTTAATATGATGTTGGCCTACCCTTTGCACCCCCTTCTGGGAAGGCTTTTCATAACATTTAGGAGTGTGTTTATTGGGATTTTTGACCATTCTTCCAGAAGGACATTTGTGAGGTGAGACGCTGATCAACTAATATATATGCAGTACTGTGCATTACGGTCACTTTGACTGGACTTAGGAACCGGTGTTACAATATTTCTGTTCTATTAAATTATCTCAGTAAAGCATGACAGTTTCAATGTGACAGTGAGCCATCATGCACAATAACCTTCAACTGAAGCCAAATGGAAGTCTGCAATTAATCATTTTGTCTTATACACTGGTGGTTTTTCTACAGTGACTTGTGTGAAAAAGACCCTGTGATAAAAAAAATAAGTTAACTTTAATTATTTAAAAATTTAATTTTAAGTGCCTTACACTGGAAATACTGTGTGTCTCTGCTTTGCTGGATCAAATCATATCATTTCCTGTGTCCCAGATGACTATACATTTAACTCATAGCTCAGATATCTGCTCTCTTGAACGACCTCCATAGTCACTATATTCTTCGTCTTTCACCATCCAGCTTTCGGTCATCAGAAGAACATGTGGCTCATTGTCATCGTTCACATGCATACTATACAACTGTCAGCAATATAAACATTAATAATGCACCTGGACGTTTACGTTATTGTATACTTGGTAAATAACCACAAACAGGCATTGGGATTGGGAGTATCAGTATAAATACTTTTTCATCATCTATTTTTTGTCTTTTTTTTTTTAACCCAAATTCATTTGTCAAACTCATAAAAAGAGCCTTCTCCAGGTCCCTGATTCAAAGCTTTGTATTCATCTGAAACTGCCTCTCACCAGCCCTGGGATTTCCATATAAAGTCCTCTTTTCACCCTCATGCTCCTTTTTATTCTCTTTCCTCTCTTTTGCCTTTGATCAAGTGCATTTTCCCTCGTGTTTGGTGGGACGTCAAGCTTGACTGCCTGGCAGTGGCCTTCCTTTTAAATGTTGTTTCTATTGCTCTACTGTCACAGATCACTGGCCAGAGACTGGAGTGGCAAAGGAGGCATCTACACCATGCGGCACTCATACATTTCTCAATGACGCTCACTGAAAAGGTGATTTTCTGCTTGTCTGGAACAGTGGGACAGTTTGGCATATGAAGCATCTTCTGCTATGAATGCACCAAAATTGAGCCTATAAGACCAGGATTCAATTTTGTGAGGTCTGATGAGGTAACAGTCATGTGTAATTTAGTTGTATTATTAAGTGGGCTTATTTCAGCATTGGCAACAGAGCCCAAAGGATTTTGTTGGGAGGGGAAACATATTTTTGTCAAGATGTATTATCAGTGGTGGATGAAGAAGCTTATTAATAATGCATCCATATGTACACATATTCTGCTAAACCAGAACAATGAGATAACCACAAAAATAAAAAAAAATGTAGGTTTAATGTTTTAAATGCATATTCTAGAATGTTGTATCCAACTTCAAATTTATTTTATTTATATTGCACTAAATTCCCCACCTTGGGATTCTTTATTATGTAAACCCTACAATCATTGAGAGAAACCCCCCAACAATCAAATGACCACCTATGAGCAAACACTTGGCGACAGTAGGAGGGAAAAACTCCCTTTTAACAGGAAAAAACCTCTGGGAGAAACAGGCTCAGGGGGGAGGTACCCATCTGCTGCAACCACCTGGACGTGAGGGGAGGGAGGCAGGACAAAAGACACACTGTGTAGAAACAGCCAGAGATGAACAATAACTATGTAACTGAAATAAATATATAAACACATGGAGAGTGAAAAGAGATGAGTGAAGAAGTAACGCTCAGCACATCATAAGAAGCCTCCAGCACCCTAGATCTATTGCGGTGTAACTAAGGGAGGGTACAGGGTTGCCTGGTCCAGCCTTAACTGTAAGCTTTATGGAAAAGGAAGGTTTTAAGCCAAATACAAAAACTAGAGAGGGTGTTTGTCTCTTGATTCCAAACTGGGAACTAGTTCCACAGAGGAGGGGCCTTAAAGCTTAAGACTCTGCCTCCCATTCTACCTTTAAATATCCTAGGAACCAAAAGTAAGCCAGCAGCCTGAGAATGAAATGTTCTATTGGTGTGAAATTGTATTATGAGGCCTTTAAGATAAGATAGGGCCTGATGACGCAAGACTCTTTAATCTTGCTGTAGCATTTAGGATCAACTGAAGCTTTCTAGTGACTTTTTAGGACACCCTGATAATAATTAATTCATTTATTGTATTGTGTTATAATACTACTTTGTGATAACATACAAGCAACGTGTTCCCGTTACTGCTTGTTTAGAGGATCTAAATTTCAAGCACTGCCATTGATTTGCAGAATTCTTTTTGGGCAGGGGGAGGGGCCCTAAAAGTAACCATACTTTTAACTTCTCCAAGTCTGATGGTATCAGACCCAAGTTTCTTCAGACCCGTGTCTGTTAACCTGAGTCAAATTTACAGCTCACGTATAAGGCAGCATATGATACTGGCATTGAAGTAGAAGCCGACATTATCAGAGCTTGAGAACTGTTGACCACCACATGTGACTGGAGTGATTGGATGTATTAGTCATGGGCAGAAGGAGGAGGAGTATAGAGCACTAGTGAATGATTTTGTGGCATGGTCTTGGAGAAATAATCTGCTTCTGAACATGAGTAAGAAAGAGAGAGTGGGAGTGGATATTGTGGATGAATATAAGTACCTGGATGTCCAGATTAACCACAGACCTCGAAAACCCACACAGAGGCTGTATACAAGACAACAATGTCCTATGGACGCTGAGACCTTCCCGATAGAAAATGATGGAGAATTTTAATCAGCCAATTGTGGTGGTTGTGGTGTGCGCTGTTGGCTCTGTGACTGGCTGCAAACTGGACACATTTAAAAAGTGATCACTGAAAAAACTATTTTCAGTCATTCATAACCCTGATCAACTTCATCACCGCTTACAATTTCCGCTAACAGACTGATTCAGCTCAGCTGCCACAAGGACAGATACAGGAAATCTTTCATACAAGATGCAACAACATTTTATAATGCAATACAGATATCTGACATACAGTGATCTGCTTTTTCATTTGAACATTTTATTGATATTTAAAGTGGTTTTTCCCTTTTATTACTGATTTAGAAATATTATGTATTTCTTTACCATTGCTTGGAATTTCAAAAATATGGGGAAAATAAAGTATTTCTTAATATTATTGTTGTCTATAATAGTGTTTGTCCGCTGTACTGTTAAGATAATTAAGTCATATTTGCAAGTTTGGTTAAATCACTTATGAGAAAATGAATAACATACAAAGGAATACAAATAATCCTAGTACAATTGTTCACTACAGGCACGGAGAGATATGGCAGTCCAGTCTACGGGAGAATTCCGCAACAGCAAGGATGGTGATGTAACGATGACAGTAACTTGATCAAAATCCCTGTCCAAATAATCGCTCCGACACGTTACGAAGATGGTTGAAAACCCTGCTCATGCAACGTCAACGTTTACGACAATTCGTTGCTACGGCAATGAGTGAAGACTGTTTTACGGCAGGCATGTGTATGCAGGGAGCTTGTAGTTAGCGGAATAGCTGTCTACTTAAATTGTGAGAGCGCTTTTTCAACTTTGAAATAAAATTATAAGAAAGCTGAGACTTGTATCCTGGACAAATGGACGTCGGAGAGCTCCTGAACTATCAGGTAGACGTTTCACTCCTGATAATGTGTGTGAGAGCTAACTAAGCTAGCAGTAACTTATCTCATTCATTTGGTTGTAAATAAACGCTAACAGTTTAATGAGTGTGAGCATGTAGACTTTTATTTAGCCTCCTTTGTTTGCGCCTTGTTTAATGATCAGTAAATTAGAACTGAGTGACGCTTGCGCGAAAAGAAAGAACAACTTTGGATCTCAAGTCCGTGTTTATTAACGCTAGCAGTTAGCCCGTTTGCTAAAAGTCTGTTAGCTATCTCGCAGCAGCACATCAAGAGCGGGGAAACTCTGCGGGCTTCCCTGAGATGCATCTGTTTAAAACTAGTTATGCATAACAAAGCATTTTGAATCTTTGGCATTCTTTCGTCAATTCGATTCGGAGTTTTATTTGTTAATGTCGAAACAAATGTGTACCTGAACAGTTTCGTTTATCATACAAGGCATACGTACGAGAAATCGACTTCACCCAGTATTTGTATCAAATATGCAAATCGCCATTATATGTCCCATTTCATAAATCCGTATTTCAGTAAAATCTCGTCTTCTACTTAGGCTCACTGTTTTAGTTGCAACTTTTTTTTAATGCCATCAGTTTTCTTAGATTAGTTGTTTGACATCTGCTGAAAACTCTGGCAGCTGCTTCGATTAACTTGATAAAATTATATGTGCTTCTTTTTTTAAAATTCATTTGAAAAGTCATGATTGAGTATTTCTATATTGACATTTCTATAGTTGCCAGATATGACCTAGTTAGGTGCTATAATGGTGTATTTCATTGATTGTTTTTAATCTCATTAAATGCCACCTTGCTGAAAACAAGCAACCACATAATTTTGGGCTCTCCCAACACTTTTTCATATATTCATCTTATAGAGTAAATCCCTGTACACACATTTAATGATCCCTTTTCTTGTTGCAGCCTGATAGGGGAGCAAAGCGTCCCAGGGGCGAAGAGGATGGAGGAGCAGGAGGAGATGAAGACTCCAGAGGAGGGAAGCAGCTGAAAGGGATGAGTGCTAGAGAGCTGGCCAGATACAGGGAGGTGGCAGGAGCAGAAGGAGGTGCTGAGATGAGGGAGACTGAGGAACTCATAGGGGACAAGAAGATAATCCTGGAAAAGCTGATGGACCAGGATGCAGAAGAACCTGAGGTGGGTTATTGTAATTGTTATGTTATTATTATAGAGTTGTTACTCTGATTTCTTTGGGTGATGAAAAATGAAGAAATGTGACAAAGATCATGAAAATTAAATATGTTCCTTTATTCTCATATGTTTTCAGTTCATAGTTTGCATGGCAATCTTTAAACAGCTTTCACCATACTAGCATGCTTCATCAGGACATAAGCCATATTAACAAATTCAGATAGATTTACACAAACGCTGCTAAAACAAACACAAACATGCTATGATTAAAAATGTTTCAGCCAGATTTATACCGAGTCAGACTTATTAGATGTTATTTGTTGGTATACTCTGCATGCATTGTGTCTAAATGTAACTACCTGTGACATCTGTGTCGGTGGAGTAATTTGAAGAGATTAAGATTGACAACATTAAATAGACAAAAGTTCAGTTTCTTTAACACGTGGGAGCACATCTATTAAGTCAGACTTACTCGAGCGTGTTTGTTTCCTGTAAACAACACAAACAACAGACTTAAATGGATTGGCATTCTTCGTGAATGGTGCATTGATAATATAAAAGAGCAATTTAATTCAAATGGAATACAGTGTAAAATGACAAAGCTGACAAATTTCTTTTAGGCAATCTCTGCTTTAGTCAGGAGGAAATAATTCACACTCCTTTGCTGAAGACAAATGTGAGATTTGATGGTGCTGTCACTAACCCAAATTCTCCTCTTCACTACTGCTGCATCCTGCCTTTGGGTCTGATTTAGAAATCCTTTTTTTTTACATCATTTAAAGTCACGCCATTAAACGAGACTTGGCCACTGTGGTCATGTCTGTTTATTGTTCTGTGACCTGTTAAAGTTGGTTAATTAAAAAAACAAAAGTAAACGTCCATTTATAAAGTGTCTTTGTATTTTTTATTTTTGTTCCAAGCTGCTTAGTCTGCAGTACCAGCTTAGAATAATAAGCAATAAATGATATAAACTGTAAGATGATTATTGTAGTGGGCACACAAAGGTTTTTATAGCCACTTTTCACTTTCCTTTTTCATAGTTTTCTCTGATTCCCCACTGGTTTCCCTGCCCAAATTTCCCCTTCAGTTTCGTATTGTTCATTAATCTTTCTGGTTGATTTCTATCCAGGTTTCTGCTTTAAAAAAAGGAATTGCAAAATGGTTTATTCCTCAAAGCTCTTTGAGAGGTCCTCTTGCTCCACTGGGGTTAAAACTTCCCATACATCAATCCTCCAATCACAAAGTTGCCAGTCTTGCCAGTATTGCTGGTCCCATATTCAGTGACCACAGGGGGTGTGCAGTCAGTCTGCGGGGTCTAATGCTCTTGTGGCTTTGACAAACCAAACAAAACTAGATTCGTGTCCTGAATCACCCAGTTAATCTTGGATCTTTCAAGAAACTTGGAGAGAGTGAGACTTGAATTACTGAAACACCTAACATGGTGAAACAGCATAAAAATAAGTTCCAGGAAAGGTTGTTTTATTCTACATTGTTATCTGTCCAGCACTGCGGAGGTTTATAATCCATCAGGAGGTCAAACACATTCTCTTTTCACTCAAATGTATTCCTTCTGATTGAACAAAATGTTTGCACAATTTGCTTCACTCACATGATTAAGGTGACCCTACAGTCTCTTTGTTGTTATTGCAGCAGTTGCTTTAATAATTTTATTTTTCCCTTTTTCTCCCCGTCTTCCCTTCTGCATCTTTTTGCTCCCTTTCCCCTGTCTCCTGTGCTAATCAAACAGGCAGAACTGGTCGATGAGAGCTCAGTGAAGAAAATGATCCTGACCTTTGAGAAGAGGTCATACAAAAACCAGGAACTAAGGATTAAGTTTCCAGACAATCCAGAAAAGTAAGCCTATTACAGACAGAGTAATAAAGTCTTGTTTGACTTTATTCCAACAAACAAAACTATACGTGGACTTCAGTGGATCTAAAGAAAAAAGAGGGTCTCAGCATTTCTAAGAAACACTGTCATTATGATCAAACTTATAATGCAAAACTTCTGATTTGTGTTATTAAACTAGGTTCATGGAGTCGGAGCTTGATCTGAATGACATTATCCAGGAAATGCATGTGATTGCTACAATGCCAGATCTCTACCACCTGCTGGTGGAGCTGAACGCCGTCCACTCACTACTGGGCCTCCTCAGTCATGAAAATACTGATATCCTTTCACGTTGAGATTGATTCAGATCACCTCTCTCTATTGAATGTTTTGTTACATAACATTGGTCTTTAAACTTGTTCCCTGTATCCTAGAAGTTTACTGTTGTAAACGTAGCTAGTACAAAGAACCAAGGACAGGATAAGAACAATGAATATGAGCTAAGAGAGTAAAGATGTGTCAACTTTTTATTGAATTTGTTGCACACAAAGCTTGTTGCTTTTTTTTTTTTTTTTTACTATAAACTTGCTCTTACATTAAAACTGTAACAAAATACAATTTACTAAGTGAGTCATATTTCAGATTCAAAACCATATTGGAGTAAATGCACGAACCCTTAAAAATACACAAAATAAATATTACTATAGCCATTAAAATACCTTCAGTGAAGGCACTGGTACTCAAGATGCATCCCCCAACAACAAATCAAAAATATAGACCAAACTGGGTGATGAATTTACATTGTGGGTAAAGTAGTCGCCTGGCTTTTAGAGGAAAAGAGAAAGCATTGATTTTACTTCTACAGTAGCATAGGATTGCAGAGTTAAATCGAGTATGGAGTATTGTTATTGGCCTGAGCCTGAGCCACATGTCGCCATAGCTGTGGTGGACCTGCTGCAGGAGCTGACAGATATTGACACACTGCATGAGAGCGAGGATGGTGCTGAGGTACTCATAGATGCTCTGGTGAGTACAAAAGTCTCATGAGTCTCTGATGATATTGATGAAGCAGCACTGTTTGGAGTTAGTACTTAAGCTTCTTGGCTCTGGTGGAGAGAAATTGATTGCTTAGTCTTTGTTAATGAATCAAAAGCAAGGTTTCAGTTTAGTCTCACTTAGAAGCATTCATGATTTTTGGTTTTGCGTTCTTTGTGTGTGATTTGAAACACAAATTACATTAAATTAAAATAATTCTAATAAAAAGCGTTGTATTAAAATAACTTCAAAGGGGAAACAAATCCACAAACATTAGTTCTTAGTAAAGCTGCCAGTGTCATTTACAGGGCCACAAATGTCTGAAGTAACCTGTTGATTTATTTATTTAAAGTCTTTTTAATTATCTCTCAGCGGTGAGCTGTGACAGTTAAAAAAAACATGATGGGATTAGCAACATGACAAGAACTCAGTCAAGAGGAAAAAATGGATTTCAGTATGTAGTTTGATCAGCATAATTATAGCATAGACTCTCCCACTCTTTCTTTTTCCGTTCTGTTTTCTTTGTCACCCTCCGGCTGTGTGTGTTGGCATCACTTCACCGTCGACGATCTCTCCCTGTCTCTCCATCTCTGTATATTTAGCCCCCTCATTCCTTTTTTTTTTTCTTTTCTAGTTCAGCCTGTCGTGCTGCCGGGCTTTCATAAATATTAGAGTGTCGTGATTCTCGATAGCCCATTATGTTTTTTGACATTTAGATCGACACAGACAAAGGTCAAATTACAATAATATGCGGGTAAAGCCATGATGGAGAAAAGAAATACATGCCTGTGTTTCTTCACACCTGTCACTGTGACACTTCCCAGGGAATCAGTTGACTTTTTTTCTCTGCTACACTTGACAACTTTGGTTGGGAGTCTTGGGAGTTTTTGAGTAGTTTGATCCCAATATTTTACACATCTGCGTGGCATTTTGTACATACTGATAAATTAAGTGCAACTTCATGAGGATAGCACTGTTTCTGATGTGAACAAGATGCTAACACTAGACCTGTGTTGTTGTTGTTGTTTTTGTTGTTGTTGTTGTTTTTAAGTATCTATGTTAGCTAATTCAAGTTTATTCATTTACCTGGTATGGACTTAAAAAGTGACAGGAGAAGGAAGCAGGAGATTGACAGACGGATTGGTGCTGCGACTGCAGTGATGCGGAACGCTGTGCCAGTCTGTTGTGGTGAAGAGAGAGCTGAGTGTGAAAGCGAAGCTCTCAGTTTACTGGTTGATCTACGTCCCTACCCTCACCTATGGTCACGAGCTGTGGGTAGTGACCGAAAGAACAACATCGCGGATACAAGCGGCGGAAATGAGCTTCCTCTGAAGGGTGGCTGGCCTCTCCCTTAGAGATAGGGTGAGAAGTTCGGCCATCAGGAAGGGGTTCAGAGTAGAGCCGCTGCTCCTTCACATCGAAAGGAGCCAGTTGAGGTGGTTCAGGCATCTGACAAGGATGCCTCCTGGGTGCCTCCTGGGTGAGATGTTCCGGGCATGTCCCACTGGGAGGAGGCCCCGGGGCAGACTGAGGACACGCTGGAGAGATTATATCTCTCGGCTGGCCTGGGAACGCCTTGGTGTTCCCCCAGCCAAGCCGAAGGAGGTGGCTGGAGTGAGGGAAGTTTGGACTTCTCTGCTTGGGCTGCTGCCCCCACGACCTGGCCCCAGATAAGCCGAAAAGGATAGTTGGATGGATGGATGACCTCTGTGGATTTTTAGCACTTTCTATAGATGGTAGATTGGATTTTATAGGTGAAACCAGCACCATGGAACTTTGGTCGTGCTCTTTGAACAATTTCTGCAGTATAGTTGGTAGCATCATCCTGTTCTATTCAATGAGATCACTGCAGAACATTACTCATAATATTAAAGTACCTTCATTGGCTCAGCTCCTTCCTTTAATGTATGTTGCAAGCCCAGTAAACACAGTACCAGCAGCAGAATTTGGGGATATCACATAAGCCGGACCAGTGAAAATCCTCTTTCTATCTGTGTTTAACTGCACATTTAATCCCTGCGATATATAATTATATGAATGGAAGTGTATTTGTAACAGTACGTCTCTGTTTTTTAATATGATAAACATATGTTGCTGTAGTAAATGAAGAAATCTGTCAGAAGAACTCTTTGGGCTCAAAATGTAAAAAATTGTGTAATTTCAGAAAAATGACAGATTAGGTTCTGGTAGCTCAGCTCAAACTGTCTTGTGATTATAAAACAGATGGTTTCTGTTAATTCACACAAAATTTTCTTTCACTGTGATATATTTAAACAAAACAATTATACAGTAGATAGTGAAAAAAACAGGAACTTTTGCCATTTATTTGTTTATCTATTACTTAATTACTTTGGCATAGTATTAGTGGCCATGGTGGAGGTCTTTATCTGCACAAAAAACTTTAAAGCTAAAATTTTCCAAAGTCGTCTGAGTGGGTTGGATGGGAGTCTTTCCTGGACTGATTCTGGGACCCAGACCTCCTGATTGACATCCCTGAAAGAACCTGTTTCATTGGACCACACCTACTTGCTCTGTTTTCTGGTTCTCATGCTAACCTTCCTCTTTCCAGGCACATTAAGAGGTAGAAACGATTTTTTAGTGTGCAATGTCACCAGCAGGCACAGCTCTTTATGTAACAAGCAACAATGAATGGTTTGCACATTTGTCAGTTGTGGCCCTCATTAAGGTTTTCAGCAGTTGTGTTATTGTGCTGTTGGTCTGTATACTAAGCCCTGGGCTTGTTGTTCTTCCTTAAGACATAATGGCGACTGCATACCACAATACCTCACAAGAACTGCCTTCCTTTGGCCTAACGCTGTCGTGTAGTTGTCAAATTCATCAGCTCATCTCCCTACCTCTCCTTTATAGCATGTGCCACTGTAAATAATTAATGAAATGTAGTCATTTTATTGAATGGTTGGATGTATAGATGGTTTCTGTGGTGTTGCCCATGGGGCCTTTCTCTGAAATGGTCTTACAAACACAGAACAGAATATTAATGTTACTTTCTGTGTAAGTATAATATGTTGAAATACTGTTTGTGTTCTAAATAACTGACACAGTCAAGTTAAGAACACATATCTGAGGCCTCTATCTTAGTTATATTGGTGTGTGATAAGAAGAATTGTAGATGAAGCAGGATAAACATCAGAAATTGCTGACAAAAGCTGGCTTTTGTGTGTTTGTGAGCTGGCTTCTTATATGATAGTGGGTGAGATAGTGACTCGGGTAGCTGTGCAGCGCTCGCAGGATAAAGGAATTTTATAAATGCAGTCCATTTACCATGCAATGGAGCGCCCATAAACCTCACTCTTCTTTACAGCTACTTCCAAGGGAAACAGTTTCAGGGCAGCAAAGGTTGGTTGAATCCATTTGTCTGTCCTCTTTGCTGTAATGCCCTCAGCTCCTCTGTCCTTGCTGCCTGAAGGCCAGGTGGCATCCTTGGTAAGATAAATCAAAATGATCCACGGTGGTCTCCAGTGGCTCATAAATCTGTGTTGACTGTCTTCTTTCATCTATAAGAGTACATTTATCCAGCCCGCTGGCACCTTGCAAGCTTTGTGTGGTTATGAGTCTCCAATCTTGACTTGACTGATAACATTCAGACATCGTCAGAGAGGCTCCAACAGGAAGCAAGCGTCTTCTGCAAAGACAAGTCTTAAAAGTGAACCATCTCTCTGTTATCCCTGGATAGTCTATATACATCTTTTCTTTTCTTTTCTTGTTTTTGAGATGGAGACTATAATTTTGTTTTCAGACAGGGTAGACACAATCATCTGACAGACCTCCAACAAAGTGCAAGGGTGGGAGTGTTTCTAGAACATGAAAACATTGTCTTTGCTATGTTACCTTTCACCAAAACCTTTTAAAGATGAAAAATTGTTTCTCCAAAAGTCTGATAAAGTTGTATATGACCTTTGGCAAAATTGTTTTAGAACCGTGACTTGAATTTCATCTTTGTGTGTCTGTAGTTGGAGGGTCAGGTGGTTGCCCTGCTGGTGCAGAATATGGAGCGTCTGGACGAGCAGGTGAAGGAGGAGGCTGATGGAATCTATAACACCCTCGGTAAGGAGACATAATCCCAGATCTTAGCAATGAAACTCCAATTTCTAGTTGTCCTAAAGTAAACTGTCATCACACTTGGGAAGAAAAAACATAAACAAAACAAAACATAGATTTACAGTTAAACAAGGCTACATGTAATAATGTGTTTGTCAGCTAATTCTATATTTTATGCTTGAAAAAAGGTTTTGTCCACTTTGGCTAAAATGACATTGAGTAATGGTTTAAAGGACTATACACGATGCTTTTTCAGCTGTGGAAATAACATGAATGTAACTTTGATTTCCTCAGTCAGGTAATGTCTGAAACTACAGCGCTACCACCTGAAATAGGACTGAAATATAGCTAAAGTCATGTTGTTCTCATCTGTCCAACATATATATATATAAAATAAATAAAGCAGTCAGTTGACGTTTTGGCATGAAGCAGTCAAACGTTCATCATGGATTGAGTGGAATAGTAGACAAGTAAAACTGCCCACACAAACCAGGTGGCAGGAATAAAAATTGGAATTGTTTATTTTTTTTTAAACAGTCTGTTTCTGTCCTGTTGTTCAGTGGAGTGAATTCAAGTAATTCAAGTACTGCTCAGTAGTCTCATATGAGCTTTTTTTTTTATTTCTGTGTTGCTTGAATGCTTGAAGTTATCAGATTTTGGCACTTTGGTATTAACAACTACGAGGGCAATCCCAAAAGAAAGGTCTCCTGTTTTTTTAGAAATACAAACAACTGTTTATTTTCTGTAATATTTACATCATTTTAAAGGTTAAAGAATAATTTATTTTTCAACATAATCGCCTTTTCGGTGGATGCATTTTTGTAGACGCTGCGGCAGTTTTAGAAGGCCCGTGTCATACCAGCTCGCCGCCTGTCCTTCAGGAAGCGTTGAATCTGTCGCCTCTTCATCGGAGCAGAATCGTCTACGGGACAAATGTTCTTTCAACTTAGGGAACAGGTGGTAGTCACTAGACAACTTGTGAACGTTTTTGACATCCATGCACGGCTGTCCGTACACTTTCGTCAATTAGCGTTGAATTTCAACCGGTTTAATGCCTTTTGCGTTCAAAAGCGGAATAACTGCGCGAACCTCACACTTGGCGGTAGCGTTCAACGGGAGCTCCATTTTCAAGGGCTGCCAAGCCAAGATTGAGAATCCCAGCGAAGTCGTGCATGCTTGTTTCCGAGGGGAGAAAGCACCAACCACAACAGTGTGGCAAACAGCCGTACAAACAGTTTCCCCACTGCTTTGGAGATGTTACTTTTGGGATTGTACATATTTCGATGAGTCAGCAGGTTCTTATTTGTTATATTTATTATTTGTTTATAGATACATTTTTTCCACCCACCACATGTTTTATACGTTCTAATTCTGTGGCTGTGACCCTTTGCAGAGTTGATGCTGCAGGATTCTTCTACTTTCTGATTTTATCAGAATAAAATAGAAAAAAAAAATTCTGATTATTTTCTAAAATACTAGTATTATACGGCAAACAACTCTTACTGTGCAACATGAGTATAAATATCTATAAATGTAACTGTGTGCTTTAACACTCAGAGATCCTGCCTAATAACTTTATTTGGTCTGCTCTTTAGTTGCAGTAACAACACTTACAGCTGCTTGTTGAATATCTAGGAGGGAAAAAATTTCACAAACTGACGTATTGTAGCAGTGGCATGCTGTCACAGACCCATGACCAGTGAGCTCTTTAGAATGACCCAATCTTTCACAAATGCTGTAAAGCCAGACTGAACAGCTAGGTGCTTGATTTTATTTTTTTTTAATGTATATATTTATTTTCTTATTATATAATCCTGAGGCAATGGGACTGAAAACACCTGAATTATGGCCCAACACCTTTGTCCATAATGCATGTAGATATCTGGATTTTCAATAAATGGATGCACTAAAGCCTCCTCAGGCTAGCGGTCTTAAAACTAAAACTAAAGACATTCACTGTACATTTGTAGTTTGTAAGCAAATAAAATCTTAGTTCTCTCTCTCTCTCTCTCTCTCCCCCCCCTTAAAATGTAGTTTTTATTATTTTTGTATTTCAGTGACCTATTTTTTTTTCTACATTTAGTAACCTTAATTAATTTTTAGGGGGCATGTTAGGATGAAGAAAAACCTTTTTTGTTTTTTGTTTTTTCATTTTAATGTGTTTGCTGTAATGCTTGTGTTCAGTTTTTTTCCCTGAACTTCAGAAATCAGTAAATATTTAAGTTGCTCATGTAACTCGTAATAAGGG